ATGAGATATTAAATGGATGGAAAACAAACGTAATGTCTGCACACTGATATAACTGCTCCATATAATTATTTTATTGCAACGTTTCGTCCATCAGGTCTTTCGTCAGGCACGACCTGATGGTCGAAGCGTTGCAATAAAATAATTTTATGGAGCAGTTATATCAGTGTGTGGACATCACGAAGGGTTTCTGCAGGATTTTTAAGCTCAAATTGAAGTCCTTTTTAAGATCTGCACAAATAAAATTAATACCATAAGCGGGGTAGGGCAATGTCTGTGGTACCATATTAAACTGTAAAATTACTGTAAAAAGCATAATTTACAGTTCAGATACAAGTTTTCACAAAAACAAAACGTTTTATAAAATGATAAACTTCACATTTCAGCCTTTAAAACATTTTTAAGAAAATGGATGAGTCAGAAACATTAATTATTATATTAATTTAAACAATTATCATCAATAAATGATTTTATCAATTAAATCACATAAATTAGGGGTGTGCGATATTGACAAAAAATGATATCTCATTTTATCGATAACGATAATTAGACAATATTTTGCTATAGAGTGTGCTATTGTGCTGATATCTTATCTCTAATTGTGCTGACAGCTGAATCCTGAATTTTTTGATAATCTTCATATTCTGTGTGGTCACACAAAAACAAAACGTTTTATAAAATGATAAACTTCACATTTCAGCCTTTAAACCATTTTTAAGAAAATGGATGAGTCAGAAACATTAATTATTATATTAATTTAAACAATTATCATCAATAAATTATTTTATCAATTAAACCACATAAATTAGGGGTGTGCGATATTGACAAAAAATGATATCTCATTTTATCAATAACGATAATTAGACAATATTTTGCTATAGAGTGTGCTATTGTGCTGATATCTTATCTCTAATTGTGCTGACAGCTGAATCCTGAATTTTTTGATAATCTTCATATTCTGTGTGGTCAGTTCACAGCAGTGATATAAATTAATTATTTCCAACAAGTTTGAAAAAAAAGTGCACCATCTTTTGAGTCAAATTCTTGCATTTGGGCTGTTACCAAGCAAATGAAATCAGTATCAACAAAATTGATCTTTGCAATGCAGAGGAAACACATGTATTTACACTGTTTAATGCATTAAATACTTTAACCTGCAATTACAAATGCATAAATAATATTTTGATATTTTAAACATAAAACATTGAAAACTGATGTTTGAGATTATTTTAAAAATGAAAAGGCACTTTAAATGTGAAATTAAAACTGCCAGTAGGTGGCAGCAAATCACTGTTAAGTGAGTCATTGCGATTGAACCGAATCATTTAAACGGTTGATTTTATCAGGAAGGAAACACTGTCGTGTTGCTCAGAGACGCAAAACAGTGCTGTGGCTGTGTTTGAAATTATTTTTGTTGGAGAAATAGAGCAAAGGCAGGAAATATGGTGTCTAAAACGTAAGTATCTTAATATTAACTTGCTTATTGAACTGTTGTAAGAAATCAATATCACATTTGTAATCATGCTGACTTTTGGCACTCTTCGTGTGATATTAACTATATGAAATTATATAAATATATACATTTTCTGCCCCATCTTGAACTATGTGATAATTCTAAATGCATTTTAATAGACTGATT